TTTTTGAGTTATGCATATTTTCAAGCCAGATCCATGTTAGTAGAAGATTGTGAAGAAGGCATTGCCCAAAAAAAAAATATTATTGTATTAGGAAATAAAAACTATAAAAACTTCTCGGCCCTTGAAACCCTAGATATGTTGACAAATCTTCGCTCAAACTTTATCAAATCAACACCCAAATATACATACACATCTCACCAAAGCGCATATTCGGTATTTTGATGCACCTCCTTGCGCATACCTCATGATGCAACTTCATATGCAACAATTCATATGCATTGTAAAACACTGGATTCAAGTTCAACAATGTCAAAAAAGAAAAATAAAAATTATGGGCTCTTAATTTGATTGATAACCGATGGTTTGATCGTTGGCCATATGAAGTTTCAAACTATAGGTATTTTAGAAAAATAAAAAATTTCAAAAACAACAAAAAATAAAAAATATCAAGAATATCTTTTCAATAGTTTCACATACATTATTCTGAATTTGCAAGTAAAACACGCTTTGAAGGTTTTCAATTCATAAAAGCACCCTACGTGCACGTTTTTACATCTGGTGAATAGTTTTATGAATGCCATCGATAGGTGTAAAATAAAATTAGGAAAAATGATGCACGGATTCCTTTTCAAAGGTTCTATTAGGATATGAGTCGAATGTTTGCAAAATTATGTGGAGACCACCACCCCCACCCCCACCCAATGGCCTATTTTTTTTCCTTTCAGAATTGCTCGCCTATCTAGCATTTCCAACATCGAAAAGGTGGAAATCTTGTAAGTTTTTGGCCCTCTCTATTAGTAAGGGCATGTTCGGTATTTATAACACCAACTCTCTTCGGTGTCTCTAATATCGAACAACTCAACTTCCTAAGTCGTCTAGATGAGAAAATGTGGGCTTATAATAAGTAATAATTATTATTTAAATTCTTATTAATTAATTAGTATAATAGAATTTATGAGTAGTACTTAATTTATTTATCGCTTTTTAATTATTAGTTATTTGTATTTGAATGTATTTTTCAATATATTTTTATTTATCTTTTATTTGATCTTTTACTTTGTTATTTCTAATTTTCTACTTCTAAATTTCTATTCTATCTTTCCTAATCTATTTAAGATTCCTTTTATACCATTATATTATTTTATAAATATGGTTTTATATTCTAATTCTAAAACTAGAAAAATAAAAATGCAATAAGATAGAATTAAATGTAATTAAATATTTTGGTCGATTCTCAGTTAAATCACCATGTATGTTACTTTCCCAAGATTGAGTAGAACGGTCAAGTTACTATTATATGCGGTTTGGAAATGGCTTATTCTTTTGAAGATTCAAGCTTTTCTTTGAGTGGCCTTGCAAGAAAAATGCCTTACAGTTGACAATCTTCACAATAGGGGGTAAAATCCTACCTAACATTTGCCCTATGTGTTAAAAAGAGAAAGAGACCGGCTGCCACCTCTTTTTACATCGCTCTTTTGCTGAAAATATTTAGAAGTGGGCCTTTCGAATACTGGGTTTCTCTCTTATGCTTCCTGTGAACTTAACTTCCATTGCTAACTACCTGAATTTCCCTTGCCTGCCTTCAAAAGGGCTTCTTATTTAGAAGATCTATAGTTGGAAAATTTGGCTGGAACGCAATAGGCAAACTTTTGAAGGGCTCTCTCTGGACATGAAATTTATTAAGGACAGAAATTTTGCAGACCTCTAATATCAACAAAGGTCGAGGAGTTTCAAAGGCTGATATCCTTGTTTATTTAAAATACTTAGCTTTCTCTCGCTCGCCAAGATGTCTGTCATTATCTATTTGGAAGCCACCCCGAGAGGGTTCTTTCAAACTCGACATTGATGGGAGCTCTTTAGGTAACCAAAGGCTAACAGGAATTTAGGGTACATGACCATGAAAGGTCCATTCTTTTTTTGGAAAAATTATAAAAATCCTTCAAAATCAACTCTCTAAACATCTTAACCTTTAGTAGTTTTTGTATTACACCCTAAACTTCAAAACCATTTTCCCTTAAATTTACCGCCAGCCAAAAAGTCAATAAAAACTAGACAAAAAAGTGTCTTCTTTTTCCCTCTTCTCCTATACCATTTTTAAGTCATGTGACCCTCTCTCTCAATTTCTCTCTCTTTGTTCACCCTCTCTCCCTTTCTCTCTACTCATACTCTCTCTATCTATCTCCCTTTTTCTCTCTACCCTTTCTCTATGTCCATCCTCTCTCTATCTACCTCCCTTTCTCTCTCTACCCATCCTCTCTCTATCTAGTCGCATAAAAATATTTGTGTTTTTTCAGATATATTTTATTTTTATGGAAAAATAGATATATTTTCAAAAAACTAAATATTTTACTTTTTAAACAAAAAGCATTCATTTGTAACTAAAAATGAATATTTGATCTAAAAATTAATTATCAGTTATGATAGAATAAGAGTATAGTATGCTCCCGTAAGAACATGTTAAACAAATTTTCAAAATAGGCAAAATTAACAATAAATGCTATACTCTTGTTTTGAAAATTGTATAATACGCTCTTATGGGAGCATACTATACTATTATTTTACCACAATTAATAAGTATTTTTTAGATCAAATATTTATAAATTCATTTTTAGTTACAAATGAATACTTTTAGTTTAAAAATAAAATTTTTATTTTTTAGAAAATAGATATCTATTTTTCAATAGAAATAGAATATATATGAGAGATCACAAAATTATATATCTAGTTTTATGTGAATAAAGAGAGAAGTAATTTTGAGGTTTAGAGTGTGATACCAAAAGTATTCAGAGGTAGAATGTCTAAAAAGTTGATTAAGTTTCTATAATTTTTTCTTATGCTCGGCCTTGCGGTAATACCACGGCCAATTAGGTTGAAATTGTTTCACTCCTTAAGAATTGGAAGTTATTGTTAGCAATTATGGGAATAATATTGATTGAAGGCATTCCCTCAATATTATAAAATGGTGCAAGGATGAGCTTAGATTTCTATGGTTCCTTCATGTTTTTTGGCTTAAGATTTATGGTATTTGCTCTTCCCATGGGCTTCGCGTTTGCTTATTTCATGTGTACCGAGAGGCCAATGATATGGCTGATCTCCTAGCTAAATTTAGAGTATTTTTACCTTCTATGTCTATTTTTTATGCTTTCTGTGTAACACATGTTTTTTCAGCATTCATTCAATAAAAGTTCCTAATATTGTCAAAGAAAAAACAATTAAATAATTCTATGTATTATATATTTCAAAATGGTCCAAAATATTATCTTAGCTTTCTTTCAAAAATTCAATTTTAAAAAAAATGAAATGCAAATAGCAATAAATAAAATTAATTACATTACATAGATTCTATTTTACTATTTTTATATTAATTAAATAGTAAAACTTTAAATAGTAAAATATTTTTATAATGCCAGACATCTTAGAAAGTCGAGTTGTCTGGTATTGAAAACACCTAGCAACAAGTTTATTTGGTTTTTTTTTTTTTTGAGAATGGGGTTAGGGGCGTGGTGGTAGCACCACTTGTGCCCCATCTAAAGTTTAGGCTTTTATTCTCACTTAACCCATTAAAAAACTACTAATGATTTAAAAAATGGGTAGGGCCTCATCATCCTCAATAAATTACCTAAAAGAAAAAAAAGTTTGCTTAATTGTAGTAGTGCCGTATAAATACCCTTGTTAATAGAGATGACTGAAAACTTGTAGGATTTTCCACTGTATAGTATTGAAAAATCCAGGTGGGCAATTCGAGAAATAAAAAAGGGATGTGGGATGGGATTGGCCTCTATGTAATTTTTCCAAAAATTCGACTAATAGTGTAATAAAGCCATTGAAAAGGTGTCTATATGTAATTTTTCCAACAAAGGAAAAAATTTGAAAGCCGCGTTAAGAAACCCTAGCACATGTGGCATTAGGGGCCAGGTTATATAGAGCCGAGGCTCTAAACAATCAAATTAGAACTTGCTTCAAATATTTCACTGGTGGTATAAAGCCAAGGCTCTAAACAATCAAATTAGAACTTGCTTCAAATGTTTCACTGGTGGTCGCTTCATACACAGCAGCCAACGTCCCGGGGTGGGGCGGGCGCTCTGATGATGCAGAGAGGAGAGAGTCTAAGATTCTATGTATTCTTGACTTCTTATCTTTTCCTAGGACCATAGAAGAGTTTGTTTTGATGCCCAAATATCATCAAAATGATCATCTCGACATCAAGATGCATGGACATGAGAAAAAAATGAATTTCAAGTTTTAGAAATAGTGTATTTTGTATGGGTGCAATTGGTATACGGATGCATCCGTAGCTGCGGAGGTAATGTGTGCCTTCAAATTTTATCATGGCATATAATTTTGATGTAAAATGTTTTTAGGATTATCTCAAAATCTATTTTTATATCTAATTATAAATTTTTAAATTTAAAAAATGATTAAAATCAAGTAGATATATAAACATATGAAAATCTTGAAAATAGACGGTATAGATAATATGTTGTAAAATACACTATTTTTGAGACTTAATTTTTTTTTATTTTTCATGGTCATACATCTCGATGTCGAGATGATCAATCAAAGGGTTTTTCAACATTAAAATTACTTTTGCTGATGGATTTTTGAGGTGCATCATAAGCTCTACATTATAATGTTGCAATCTTATATAATTTTTTTTCATTTTGTAATACATTTTTGGACTGTCAATTTTTAAGATTTTCATAAATCTATCAATCTACACAATTTTGAAGCTTTAACTTTATAAATAAGGATGAAAATATATTTTAAGGATATCACAATGATTTTTAGTATTGAAACCACATGTCTCGATACTATTTGAAAGTAGACTCTGATTTGATTGTTTAGAGCTTGGGCTCTATACAAACCGCACCCATTCTTGTTTGTGTCATTCCGAAGAAAATTGGTGGCATTATTTGTCCTTCTCTAATTTTAAGTCAAGGATTTCCCGCTAATAAAAAGCAAAGCCGCTTTCTTAAAACTTCAAGTTCCCGCCTCATGCCCACTCCTTCTTCCTCAAGCGCAATGAGCACGCCAAAGTTGCAGACATGGCGGATCGTTCCTGACCCTGAAAAGCCTAGAAATTGGACCTTCAATGGTCCTGAGTCTCGTCCCATTCCAGCTCAAATAACTACTCTTGTTCCACAAAATTGTGGCCTTTCTCTGCCATCATTTGCTGACCTTTTGGTTCAAAGTAAGAGAACTCTAGATTATCCATTTCCATTTCTATGAGACCTCAATTAAATATTTGCTTTCATATTTTTTATTTTTTTTCTTTTGGACAAAACCTTGTATTTTTCTTTTGACATTTCCTGTATGTCCTCAGTTTCTAGGGCTTTTCTTGAATGATGTTGATGGACATAGTTAGCCAAAAAAAAAGAAAAAAACATAGAAGTTCCCTTTCACATTTCCTGTAAATTCTCAATTTCAACATTTCTTTTCAGGATATTCAATATTGTTATTTGAAAAAACATAGACGGCCTTTTTACATTTTCTGTATATCCTTGCTTTATATGGTGCTTCAGGATTTTTAATGTCCATGGACAAAAAATTACATTTTTCCTGTTTCATTTCCCGCAAATCCATGATTTATAGGGGGTTTTCCGTGATATTCAATGTTGTTTTGGGACAAAATATATAATTTCCTTTCACATTTCCTTTAAATGCTCAAAAACTAAAGTTTTTTCTCAGGATCTTCTACACTGCTTGGGGGCACCAATGGAAACCGCAGAGACAGATTCTCATGTATTCACGGTCAAGAAAATGCTCAGCCGGATTTCACTTCCGGTGCTTCATTGTTCAGGTCTGGTCATGGAAAGCCAGTTGGAGTTGCAGAGTCCTCCATCAGAAAAGCAATGGCGGTTCTAGGAGGAGATGATGACCAATTTGAGCACTCTAAAGCGAAGCATTTTGTAATGGATAGAGGTAATCTCTAAAGCCCTCTTTTGTTTCTTCATTTTTATGGACTTTTTTGTTTCTAGGATTTTTGATATAGTTAAGTATAACCAAAGGAGTGAATGCTTTTGTAGGTTAATGTGTCTCGGAGTTGGTGGCAAACTAGATTTTCAGGATCTTTAATGTTCATGGACAAAAATTAGATTTTTCCTTTTTCATTTCCGGCAAATCCATTATTTATAGGGTGTTTCCATGATATTCGATGCTGTTTTGGGACAAAATATGTAATTTCCTTTCGCATTTCCTGTAAATGCTCAAAAACTAAAGTTTTTTCTCAGGATCTTCTATACTGTTTGGGGGCACCAATAGCAACCGCAAGGACGGATTCTCATGTATTCAAGATCAAGAAAATGATCAGTTGGATTTCACTTCTGGTGCTCCATTGTTCAGGTCTGGTCATGGAAAGCCAGTTGGAGTTGCAGAGTCCTCCATTAGAAAAGCAATGGCAGTTCTAGGAGAAGGAGATGACGACCAATTTGAGGTCTCTAAAGCGAAGCATTTTGTAATGGATAGAGGTAATCTCTAAAGCCCTCTTTTGTTTCTTCATTTTTATGGACTTTTTTGTTTCTAGGATTTTTGATATGGTTAAGTATGACCAAAAGACTGAATGCTTTTATAGGTTAATGTATCTCAGAGTTGGTGGCAATCTAGATTTTCATTTTATTAGAGGATATCGTCTATGGTTTATAGATCTTCATTGATTTGTTATGAATGTTATTTCACTTCAGTAACCTTTTTCTTTCCTTCAAATTATCTCTGTTTTTATTCTATGTATCCATTAACATTTGACAAAAGAACTAGAACTTTCGAAGTGGTTCAGTGTGAACTGTCTAAAATAATGTTCTCTAATGTAGTACACAGTTATAACAATCAGGAAATTTTGATGTCACTACTTACTAGACAATCTGGTCTTTATTTCCTTTTTTGAGAAACCGTGGGGGACATAAATGTGGTCTATTGTTTTCTTGTCCTTCATGTATTTCTTATTAGAGTAGCTAGCCTCGTTAGCTTGTTGATTTGTTGCGTGGCTGTTTCCTGCCTAAATAATTTATTTATCTTCAGGTATAGGGAAAATAACATGTTTGAATAAATTTAGGTCTTTAGTTATAAATTTTAACTCTTAAATACTTTGGTTATCTATTCTATGAGGCTATTTACTTTTGAATTACATGGTTCTAACTTCATAATGAAATGTGGTTGTTACTTCTTGTTTTCTCTAAAAAGATAATATATTTTTGGCATTTAGAGTGCGTGCATTATCTTAATTGACTTCCTTGCTAATATAATGTTGGATATAGCACATAATTTCATAATTTTAACTTATGCTTCCACTGAAACAGCCCATTCTGAAACATAAAATATGCTGGGGGGTTTCTGTACCTCAGGAAGAATGCATCTTACATTTTAAAAGTACAAAATTTTATATTAAGATAGTTTCCAATTCCTTTTGATCAGCCACTTATACACACTTACATGGTAAACATATCGAATCGTGATTAAGTAAGCCAACAATGATCATTATGTACTAAACAATCAAAGTTTCTTGATGATCTGTTTTGTGGATATTTGCGGCCTTCATTCACTGACCTTCTGTTTCAAGGCATGGAAACCATAGAAATTCCTCTTTTGGGTGATTTCTGGTCCTGGGAAAAACTTCATAATTTTATTTTCATATATTCATTAAATCCTCAGGCTCTGTGGTTTTTCCAGGAGTGGTGTTTCTTGACAAAATCTCAGCTTTCACATTTCCCCTAAATCTTTATTTTCTAGTCTATCTTCACAATCTTGATGTTGCTCTAGGCCACAAATATAGAATATTCTTTTTTCTAAATTCTCAATGTCTAGGTTCTTTTCAGGATCTACGACATTTTCCCGGGGCATCAATAATAATCACAGTGAAAGATTATCAGGAACTGGATATCGACAAAACCAAAGGTCAGTTTTATCTGCTGGGGCTCCAATGTTCACAACTGGTTCTGGAAAGCCAGTTGGAATTGCAGAGTCTTCCATTAGAAGGGCAATGTCTGTTCTTGGAGAAGGAGATGGCACTCAACTTGAAGTCTCTAAAGCAAAACTTCTTGTGGTGGACAAAGGTCATTTTGATAACCTCTTTGTTTCCTCAAAATTTATTTATTATAGTTGAGCCTGTTTCAATTTGCATTTGATCAATTTATAGGGCTTTTTCTCACAGAAAACGTGGAGAGTAAGTGCTGCTGTAGCTTAATGCATCTCAAAATGACTAATAATCTAGGACTTTTAATTTACTAGAGAATCTGGCCCTATTATTTATGGATCTTCATTGATTTGTCAAGAATCGTATTTCTCTTTTGAATGTGTTTCGAATGGAATTTGATCGCATTTCTAGGGTTTTGTCAAAATTCAGCATGACCTGAAGGTTGAAGCTAACGTAGGGTATGTAGGACAGAGTTGTAGCATTCGGGAATTTTGATGTTACTGGAGAATCTGACCAATTGTTTCTGGATATTTGTTGATTTTTTATGAGTTCTAGGTTTTAGCTAACATCTCTATCTTGGTAAGTACTTGTGCGTCTTTTGATTTCCAAGTTTTAACTAACCTCTTTAGCTTGCTATGCTGTTCGTGGCTGGTTCCCTACTTAAAATGATTTACTTATCTTCAGAATAAGGAAAAATAACATCTTTAGGTTACAGTCTTTAGTTTTTTCCAGCGCTTAAAAACTTGAACTTGGTCACCAACCTGGTCACTGCCAATACCAATTGACTATCTGATTCAAAGGGTAAACTTGAAAAGACAGCGATGAGTTATGAGAATCAAACACAGCTCGTCTACTAAGAATATCACAACACTGCCAGCCAAAAGAGACCAGTTGTTGGTCAGTTCAATCAACAAAAAAAATATAAAAGGGACAATTCGGGCATATTCTGAATATTTTGTTTCCAAAACTCATCCCCTGGATGGTTCAAGTTAACTCAGTGAATTTTCCTACCCAGAAATGAGTTTTTTGTTCTCTGCTTTTCACACTTGAATCCCTTGTTTGTATTGTTATAAGATTTGTTTAATTGGAATTACATTGTACCTGAATTCAATATTGAATGCGGTTATTACTTATCGTTCTTGAAAATCATATCTTGAAACAATGAGAGTGCATTAGTTGTTTTTATAAGCAGCTGACATATCACCAGATTGTACATTTCTACCTCTATTTAAAGTTCATTCTAAACTTAAGACATGTTGGACATAGTAGTGCTTGAAAAATCGGAATCCATCCTTTAGTACATGATTCCTATTGCCTGGTCCTACTCTGGTGATTCCCAAGTCGGATCACACTACAGTTAACAAAGAAAATACAAAAGTAAAAAACCTGGAGAATCAGGGTTATTTTGGGGTTCCTGTACTGTAACCATCACCTTGTGATCCCTATCCAACCTTAGCCATTCCAAGTCGGATGGTCGATTTTTAAATCACTGGGATATATTGCCAAAGTGTACAGTTCTTTCTCAAGCAAAAAATCCATTCGGAAACTTTGCAACATGCTGGCTATAGCACCAAATTGTACAGTTCTATATCAATGCAGCATATGACTTTATAAACATAAAAAATTATACTTCAGATAGTTTCCAGTTCCTTTCCACATTTCCTGTAAATCCTCGTATCTGAGGCTCTTCATAATCTTTGTTGTTGTTCTAGGACAAAAATCTGGAGTTTCCTTTGGTGATTTCTTGTAAATCCTCAATTTCTATTTTTTTTTTTTCAGGATCTTCGACATCGTTTGGGGTCTTCAATTACAATGACAGATTCTCAGGCATTCAAGATCGAGAATATCAACAGCTGGATGTGTCTTCTGGGGCTCCAATGTTTAGAACCGGCTCTGGAAAACCAGTTGGAGTTGCGGAGTCTTCTATTAAAAGGGCATTATCTATTCTTGGAGAAGAAGGTGGTAGTCAATTTGAAGTCTCTAAAGAGAAGCATTTAGTAATGCATAGAGGTCATTTTTTATAACCTTTTTGTTTCCTCAAACTTATCTACTTCTTGAGCCTGTTTCGAGTAGCATTTGACCAATTTCTACAATATTGGACATATTTTTTTTCGTTTTTGACCTGTAGAGCACATGCCCTTGTAGGTTAATCTACTGTTTTTATTAACTTTTTAATCCCTTCTTTCTATTTATATGAGATTATTTAATTGAAGTTTATGGAGTATCTAACTTTGATACTGAATGTGGTTTTTACAGTTGTTCTATTAAAACATATATTTTTTAACAATGGGAGTATGTTAACAATGAGAGTATATAAATCATCTTATTTGACTTTCTTGGTAATAAAAGTTGAAAAATTGGATACAACAATAGTTTCTACCTAACGATTTAAAAGCCGGATCATCGGGGTGAACTGGCCATCCAGAAAACAGGGTTGGGTTGGTGAAGCGCCGATCCGGATCGGCAAATAGGACATATTCTCTGGATCAACTATCATGATTGGTTTGACTTAGTGATTCAGAAAACTATTTTAAAATGAATAAAAAATTAAATACGGTTATATGGGGTAGGGATCTAGGTGGGAACTAAGAAAACATCATATAAGCAAAAAACAAATTTAAAGAAAAAAAAAAGAAAAAAAGAAAGGTGGGATTTTAGGGAGGGGACTAGGTTGGGATTGATACCTTCTCCGAATTGATTCGGTCTTGGCTACTTCTCGTTGTGGATCGGCGTTTCCCGATTCGGATATTAGGTTTTAAAACTCTGAAATGAAATATGTAGGAACAAGGCGATCCAAGGGAACCAGACCAATTACCGATTCTGACATGGAATCAGGTTATATATTGGTTTTTGATCTGGATCGGGAATTCCCAACCTGAATCGCCGGTTTTTTAAGCACTGGTTCCCACCATTCTTGCTCAATTGAAAAATTCTAATCTGAAAATTAAAATATCTTGAATATAGCACCAAATCACATTCATCCTTAAAGCATACATTTAACTAGTGTGCTTGGACTCAACCGACTTTAGTCAAACTCAGTTGAGTTACTTGGACTAACCCTATGGGCAAGGTGAGTTTCACCCAAGTGGGCTGTACATCCATGGCCCTATAGTTTATAGATATTAATGTGTCTATTGTAAGACAAAAGCGTCCAAAAAGCTTGTTGGCAGCATCCACACTTATCCCCCATAATGTGAGTTCAAAAAGAAGCTCGTGAGGATTGAACCCAAGACCTAGCATAACCATTTCAAGTTTCATGTAAGAAACATTTTGTCTTTATTTTTATTTTCTTTAACTGAGGCTGGATTCGGGTGAATTACTCGGACTTGCCCGAGTAACTCGCCTTGGCCAAGGGCCAAATACCCTGGCTGAGTCGTTTTTCTGAACACTACATTTAACATTGTGGAAGTGGAAATTTTACTTAAGATGGGTTCTACTTCTTTTTGATAAATGTACTTATATGGTTTGAAACCTGATAAAATGAGCAATTTATAATCATCATACACTAAAAATCAGAGTTTCAAGATTATTTGCTTCAAGGACAATTTCTTAACTATTTAATAGATCAGTCCTGGGAATTTTCTCAGTACACATGGAGCATTGCTTTACTAATGTCTGTGAAGTGCTTGATTGGTCATTCTGATGTGACTTGTACATGTACCTTTGCAGGTCCAGTTCCTAAATCCAAATTAGATTGCAGTTCCTCTATTTCCGAACCTGTATTCAAAACAGGATCTGGGAAGGTTGTTCATGTGTCCTCCACTGGTCTTCTTAAAGCTAAGGCATTGTTGGGCCTTGAAGAACACTGGGACAATCCCCATAATTTTCAACATTTTAAGAATGGCATGATCATGAGGGGCAGTAATTTACAAGATGGAAGGCATAATTCTAGACATTCTGAGAAATTTTCATCAAGGGCACCTGAAATCATCAACATAGAGAATGTTGGTTTAGGAGGCAACACAATGGTTTCTTCAAAGAGCCAAGCACCTTGTCAAAGAAAAGGCATTCTTTTGGGGAACCAATTAGAAGAAGAGACATCTGCTAATCCTCTGGTTTCCAAGATTTCTGATTCGGGCTTGAAAGTGCCTCCTATCAGGTTTCAAACAGCTGGCGGCAGATCTATTTCCATTTCCAGTGATGCATTGGAACGTGCAAAGAGTCTTCTTGGTGAATCAGACTTTAGGAATCCATTATGTAAAGAGAACTCAGATAACACTTTCTTTTCATTCTCTAAGGAAGTGGATTATTGTGACAAAACTGTTCTGGGCAGAAAAGATTCTTCTTTTGGGCATGTGTTTCAAGACACTGTGTTAGGCGAAGATTTAGAAGCAAAAGACCAATCTCTTTTGGAAGCTCTTTCTAATCTAAACCAGTCACACATTCCTTTAAAGACTATCAATTTTGGCCTTGATTTGCAGCAGCATGTTGCTCCCAGTAATGATATTCCTGGTGGAATCTTGAGATCAAAAAATGATAGTTCTAGTTCAAATGGATCATCAACTTGGCAAAGTGATTATAATGGGGTCAACGATGAGAATTATGCACGAATTGATGTTTCCCAGGGAAAATTTCTAGTTCCAAGAAAGCTCTCAAAGGGAGAGTTCTCAAGTGGTCCCCTAGTTGATATTTCAAACAACATCCATGCAGATTGCAATGACCACCCTCAGAGATCCCTATCGAAACCTGTTTCTGGTGACAAGAGAAGACTAGGAGGGAAAAACATTATCTCCCCGTTCAAGCGTCCACGGCGCTCCAAGTATGTTTCTATGTTTACAATTATCTGCTAACATGTACATGTTGTTTGCTTTGTTTTCTTTTGCCAATTATATCTGCAAATATATTTTTGGTGTATTCATGTTGACTACTTGTATATGCAGGTTTTTACCTCCTTTGAACAGCAACATTCATATCCAGGCTCCAGGCCCAAGGTTACCTGGTAACTATAATTGTTAGTGTCTCATAAGCCTCTAGAATGTATAGACTTTGTTTCTCATCAATCCTCTTTTTTCTATTAGATTGCTCCACATTACCTGCCCAGGGATATGACTCTCACAAGACAAACATCAGATCTTGCTACCCATTTCAGCATAAGAGAAAAACACTTGAAGAATTTTTTGGGGGCCCCCCATCTCATTGGACATTGGTATAGAATTTCGTGGGGCATTTTCGATTTAATGTCTGGCTGATCTGCATATGTGAATGACATGAGGGTATGCATTTTTTAATCTGCATGTTTTCAGGAAGGGAGTAATTTGCCAGAGAAGGTAAAGTTTATGACTGCAGATAGTGCCCAAAACTATTTATTCAATGCTGCTCCTGGATCTGAAGGAAATGGAGTTGAAATGCTTCACAACATGTTGGTCCAAGCAGGTGGTTCCTTGCAACATGCTACTAAAAAGTAAGTTTTATAAATGATTGTTAATTGCTCCTTTTTGTTGGTTTCCTGTTAAGACTTTGAAATTTCAATTTGCCTAGTAATGTAACGATGCATGAGAAAATCGATCCAACATTTTGTCATTATGAAATGTATAGGTGGGTATCTAATCACTACAAGTGGATAGTTTGGAAACTTGCTTGCCTTGAGAAAGGTTACCCCGGCAATGCAAATGGCAAATACTTGACTGTAGCTAATGTTCTTGAGGAGCTAAAATACAGGTGGATCCCTCTGCACATGTCACATCTCATAATTTATATAGATCCTTAGAATTCCTGAACAAGGGATATTCTACTCTTTTGTTATAGGTACGAGAGAGAAGTAAATCAAGGTCATAGGTCGGCGCTAAAGAAAATATTGGAAGGAAGTGCATCTGTTACATCTCCTATGATTTTGTGTGTTTCAGCTATTCGTTCTAACATTGCTGATGATTCTAATGTTGCCGATGGGCCTGATAGAGTGGAGGATCCTTCTGTTGCCTCAAAAAGTCATAAGTTTTCTTATTCCCATAATACTAATGATGGTCGTGCCCTGAAAGTAGAATTAACTGATGGGTGGTGAGCATAAAATTGTTCACTTTCTATTTGATGAAGTTGCAAATCCATATATTTCTGTTTCGTAACCATTGATAATGATTGCTACTATCTAGGTATTCATTGAATGCTGTTTTGGATGTTCCTCTATCAAAGCAACTCAGGGCTGGAAAACTTTTTGTGGGTCAGAAACTTCGGGTACATACTTTTGTTTTTCAGACAATTCACATTGACTGGATAAAACCTACACACATGGACTTTAATCATAGAACTATTGGTCCTGTTTCTTATAGATTTGGGGAGCAAGCTTGTGTAACTGGGTTGGACCATTGTCTCCACTGGAGGTATTCATGTCAATAAGAACTTCTAGGATTGGTTAATTCTATGTATTTTATAACTATTGTTTATATTCTCTTTATTTGCAGATTTCTGAGACTGTTAGTTTGCTTATTCACATGAATGGCACATATAGGGCTCATTGGGCAAGTCGTTTAGGATTTTGTAAGCACTTGTCACTCTATTAAATATAATTTTTCCATTATTCTTTCCATTTACTGTTGTCGTTACTCTGCTTCAATTGTTCATCTCTCTTTTTCCAGGTAGGGGAAATAGATTTCCACTGGCTTTTCATTGTATTAAGGATGCTGGAGGTCCAGTACCCATGACATTAGTTGGGGTGACACGGGTATATCCAATATTGTACAAGGAAAGGTATGATATATATGATATAATTGCACTATTGGTCGGGCTGTAATGGAAACTTAACCTTAATGTATTGCCTTTCTCAAGCATGTAACACTGTTCTGCTGCAGGCTCAACCAAGGAGGCTCCATTGTTAGATCAGAGAGGATGGAAACAAAATCTTTGCAGCTTTACAACCAAAGGTAAATATAGTTTTGTTTGTTACTGCAAACATGCTTCTGTATATCTGAATACATAGAAGTAGAGACGTGCTGGAACCTATATGTTATAGTAGTTTTCCAGCCGAAAGAGCGAACTTCAATGACACCAACTAGAAGGGAACGTGAAGTGTGAATTATGGCATTCCATTCTTACATTTATTTGATGCTAATGAAAGATCTCTGAATTTCTGAACTAGCATTTTGATTGTTCATATCATTTCCATGAGTTTCATTCACCACAACCTGCTTTGTGGCATTATTTCTATTTGTATTCATTCCATCAGTGGTAACTATGCGCCCTGTTGATTTCAGACGCACCATCATTGCAGAAAGTGTTGTTTCAGAGGCACATAAAGATAATTTTGGCATATTGAATGTTCATGCTAGTGACCTTGATGAGGGAGAGGAAATCTTCAAGATGTTTGAGAAATCTGCTGAGCCCGAATCATTAATGGCAACAATGAATTCAGAGCAACTTGGTGCTCTTGCAGCTTATCAAGCAAAGCAGGAGGTGAACATCAGCATGGCACCCGAATACCTAAGTTGACATGACTAGAGAAGAAATGCTGAAACCTCTTGTCTGTTCGTTTGACTACAGGCAATCAGGCAATCAGAGATACAGAAGAAAGTGGAAAAGGCTTTAGAAGAGGCAGATCTCAACTCAAGAAAAGTGACCCCTTTTATGAAAGTCAAAGTTGTTGGGCTAATCAATAATGCATCTCAGAAAAGAACTCACCCACGGGAAGGCTTGATCACTGTATGGCAACCAACCGAGAAGCAGGTAGGACTGATACCTTTATTTACTTAGTTTCTGGTAAAAGTTTGTACTTGCTTGTTTTTAGAAGTTAGTGTCCCAAATGTCTCTGATTTCTCTTATTGTGTCCCTTTTTGGAGGTTAAATATGATGATGGCAAGATATTGAAACTGATCTCTGTAAAATGCAACATCATCTGGAAACTCACCTATATTACCTCTCTGTTTGTTTTACTGAGAATAGAGAACTTTGGCATTTGTTTTTTTTTTAATTTTCTTGCAGAACCATTGATGTTTCTAGCTTTTATAAATTGGCTATAGTAGGCAGTCATGTCTGAGTTTTTATAAATGAAATAGTGCTCTTCATTTCTCGATTCAGAAAAACTATTAAGTGGACAGTTTTCAAGTTTTAAGAGAGTATTGGTTGTTGATTTACGTGAATGGGTTTATTTCAAGTAAATATTTACTGTACTTTCAAGGTTATTTAGGTGATGCTTGGTGGACGACCTTTAATGAAGGGCTATTAATTTTTGCTGTTGGCCCAGCAGGAGGTTGAGATTGAGGAGGGGCAGATGTATTGTGTTAGTGGACTCACTCCATTGCGGAATTCCATTTCCAATATCATCCACTTACACGGGAGAGGGTCCGCTACTGTGTGGCATCACTTAAAATCATCAGTTAATGTACATTTTGAGTAAGTTATTTTATTCACCTTAAATATCCGGTATATGGCATATAATACAAATACGGGCCATCAACCATTCAATATGAGGATTCAAAATGAATGTTGGAGCGAACTACAGTTTTTCTTGATGGACATTTGCAATGGAACCATGCATGACGTTTACATCTTAAGGACTGATGGTGGATGTCCCAGATGTTTATTGTACTGCCATAAACCTTCATACACGGGATTTGTATGGCATGTTTTCCATTTTGCCTCGTGTTATCACTAGGAACCATCTCTGACCAAGGGATCTCTTTATCTTTTAGACCATTCTTCACTCCTCGAGAATCAATATTACTATCGACTTTGGGTCAAATCCCTCTAGCCAGGTTTGCCGTCTATGCTTTTGCAATCTTTTATTGCCCTCTAATTCCTATGTGATTTGAAATGCTATCATTTGCTGATATTGTTTCATTTGTATATATGGTACAGTGAGTTTGATTTTGCTGGTGTAGTTGTGTTTGTTGGTGAGCCTTATGTTTGTGGAAACCATAAGAAGCAGTGGGTGTTCACTACGGATGGTTCGGAAGCTTGGTCTGGGTCAGAGTCTGATGTGCTTGCTCAAGCTTTGCTTGCTATTAGCTTTTCTATGCCCATTGCTGACACAGGTTCTTTTGCGCCAGCAAATTATACGCTTGCAGGCTCAACAGTGAGTATATGATTTGACATCCACCTGCTTACTAGTTTATCACTATATAGCTGCTTTCATAAACCAGTTTTTCCGGCTAGGGCTCGGCCTCCGGATCGCCCGACTCAGTCGAACCTGGAAGGGTGCTGGGTATGGATGAAAAGGCCAAACATATGGGAAGTTTGATCGAGTCCTGGCTCCCCTTTATATCTTATCCAGAGACATGGCTGAGTTGGAAAACTGACTTGGTGAAGGCAGTGGATGACTCAGGCTCCTGTCCCTGGCGAGTCCGAGGCCTAGTCCTTGTTTTTAAATATGCTATATGGACATGCTAACATGCATAAGTGCACACCTCTATTCACACAAACACAGATGTACAGAGACTCAAGAATGCTCGCACAGAGAGAGAGTCATTAAGGGGGTCAAAACCTTCCAATTGGCCTGACAGGGTTTGTTTTGATTTCGCTCTGGTACCTCCTCAATAAATATCCTCAAGAATGCCCAAATTGTCCCTGTATGATTCTCAACCAAATGAAGGGAATAAGGGTGTCACAAATTACTAAAAATGCCCCTAGTTGTTCAGGATTCCCAACCATGAAACTTGTGCTAGTTGACAAGCTTTTACTTTTCATGGCATTTTAAAACTTGTGTTAGTTAGCAAGCTTTACTTTTCATGGCAGAGTGTTCGCTTTGATGAATGTAGGAAGTGCTTTGCTATGATTTGTAGTTAGTCATGCAAAAAATATGACTATTATGGGGATCCAATATTTTTGTAAGGAAGTGGTTTAATAAATGCAGGAGGACCTTGAGTTGCAGAATTTCTGTGTCTATTCAGTAGTTGGGATCTTTGAAAACTAAAATACTGCAAGTATATTGTATTCTCTGACCATCAGAAACTTGGAATACTCATCTTTGATGTGTTTGTACTCAATAAATACATATTTGGGCCATTTATAAATGAAAGTCATGAACACAACACAAACTTGATGCTTGTGAACCATCATGGTGATTTTGGTTGTTCTAGTGCAGTTGAAATGAACTTATTTTCACATGCTATTGCTTATATTTCTGTTCTACTAAAGATTGTTTGATTCATACAGCATACTGTGCTCCAAGATCATATTATCATTGTTTGAATTCATGCCGCTGTAGGTGGGATTCTGTAATCTGTTAAAGAGAGAGAGAGACCAATCGAACAACCTTTGGGTGGCAGAGGCTACAGAGAACTCTACTTATTCTTTTTGTTTCAATCTTCCTGGTCGTTCTCACCTCAAAGAATCAGCGGATAATGTGCGCCAATGGGCCAAGAATTCTTCTTTGGTGAGTACCTCTTTGGGATACTCATAGTGACTAAGATACATTTTCTTTTGTTTTGCAAAGATTTCTTCAAGAACTTTGAAAGGATTAGAAAGCTACTTTCCTTTGTGTTGTAAATATCTCTTACACCCATTCTTGCATGTTTGAAATGTTTGAAGTGTAAACACAAGTTTTGAATAAGATGTTACAGTAAGAACAAGTTCGGAAAAATTGAAGTTTAATAAAATGAATTGGGACTTCAGAGAACTGTGTTTCCTGCAGTTTTCTTTTTTCTTGTTTAAAATGCTTAAAATGTAAACATGACTCTTCAGCAAGATTTTATGTAGTAACGGCAAGTTTGAAAAAACTGAAGTTTAACGAAAATGATCGGGACTTGGGATAATCTTTTCTCCTTCGGTTTTCTTCCTCATGTTTTCGTATAAATCCTCCAAGAACAAATATTTTGAAGGTTTCCTGCTAAACTTTCTTTCTGCGAAAATTTTTAATAAGAAAAGATACAAGTACATGGTCATGATTCTTTATTTCAGGTTTAATTAATGGTGCTTGATTGTTATTGTCTACAGATACTCGATAAACTTAAACAGAGAATACTTCATATTATTGGTATTTGAGAGCTATTTTTATGGCAATGGCAAGATGAACCTTTAAGTCAGCAACCTGATATCATCCTCTCTGCTGGTCCTCAACTTGTTCTATGTATATTTCTTTCTTTAATGGGCACCATTCACTTTTTTCAACTCCAAGCAAATATATAAAAAGATATATGGGAGCTGAAGAAATGAAGGCTCAGGATATTGACAGGCCACGAATAAATCCTCAAAGTAAGAACTCTTCATTCCTTGTTACTGTTTCCTTAAAATTTTATTTTGGTGCCCACTGTATATATCCAGCCATCCTTTCCAAATGTATATTGCAAGCCATCCTTGGCTGTCATTTTTTGAAGCTCCTCCATGGAGATTCTGTTATCATGTTTTTGGCATCAATTTTGTCCAAAGAATATTAAGTAAATTTAAAAGCTTGTATTATTCTTTGAGCCGCATGCGAAATGCGAGTTATTGTATAACTGTATTTTCCTTTTGTTCATTAATTTAGTTCATGGAGTGAATTGGTGATGATATCAAAGAGCCATTTTATTTTCGGAACTTAAAAATGGTCTTTGATATTTCATATTTTATGCTCAAGCCTAACTTTTGAGAACATATATAGTATTTTAATGTTGTTCCTTTTTTATAGCGTGGATTAAGCTCAAGTTTGAAGCATTCATGCTTCTCACAATTATGCACCTATAAAAAATACCAAAAATGAATTTTGAATTTGAAAATAAAATAAAATATTCTGCAAAGTTACCAAAATTTTATTGAGTGACTAATTGCAATAAATACTTGTATAGATAAGTGTCTTGCAAAGGGGACATGTGAACGACTTAATTATCCAAAAAAAACGAGACTGACTTTGGTCATGGATGCGATGAGAAAAAGAAACATAATCACCTTTTGTGTACCCAAAAAAGTTAAATCATATAGGAGAAACCCTTTATGAAAAGGAAACCGGCTGTAGTTCACGGTTTCAAAACCAAAAGGAGCATGGCTGCTGCTACAAATATTCTCAAGAAGCAAAATAGTGAATATTAATAAGCATTCATTTATTCTAGGTAGTATGCAGGAAGAAGAAAATGATCAAAAATTAGAATCATCATTGAAATTTGTCATTCTCTATGCACAAAGAATGTGGGAAAACCAATATGATGAGAAATAGAAATAGAAATAGAAATAGAAGCTCTATTGGCGAATTGGGATAATCCCATTTCCTACTTAATGTGTGAGTTCCCCATGGCAACAAACCCAACATCTAAAAAATGAGTTACCAATCACTATCAAGCGGATTTCATGAAATCAAGATGCTTAAGAACAATAATATGTAATAAATTTTTGTAGAATATAGAAAGAATTTAAACCAACTAAAATAGTAGTCAAACAAATACAATAGAAGCACAAAGCAAACATATGCCAATTTACAGTTACCCAAATTATGCTACATCTATGGGCAATGAGTAATTATGTATTTACTATCAATGGAGAAATTAAAAGTTTTGCGGGTTTCATAAAGATTGTTTGCAAAAAAAAAAAGCTCAAATGAAACTTTCTATCACAAAGGGATTATCAATCGAACCAATTCTTTGATACCATCGACCATTGTTGCAAACAACACAACAATGCTAACGTTTAAAGGGTGACCATAACCCCTAATCTCTCCTTCCTCAAAACTTGTTTTCATTATTGTTCTCTGTCTCTACATTGACTTATATGTGGCCCCATAGAGGCCATTTTGCATTTGACCAATATACCATTTGAGCGAGGGACATGTCGAAACGAGAGGTGATTTAGAATCATCGCACTAATAATCTCCACTTTGACACAAAATCTTGCCATGCTAAACATGCACTTATTTCTTTTTTTAAACCATTACAAGTTAGGCAATATTCTAACATTGCCATATTTGCAAGGTTGTCTTTGGTTTTGATCTTGACTAATTGAATTTTTCCAACTTGAATAACTGATCGGATATTGAACCAATATGTGCCGCGAGCTTTTGTGATGACCTGTATTCTTAACCAAGTGAATAGAACATATACAGTCACAAAATAGTCTCATGGGCTTGAACATAATACATGATGCCTTCGTTGTCGTCATATATTTTGATAGTCGGTAGTGCTACTGTATCTTGGAGCCTTGATATCTAATTTACCTATCTATTTGCAATCCAAAAAACAAATGTAGTCGTAGACCTACCTCTATCAAGTTCATTAGCAAACTTTGCAATGGATTTAAGCCCTTGCCAAATATAATTATGTAATTAGTAGTGCCTATAAAAATATTGAAGCCCCTATTTTGTTGCTTGAACCTTTTCGAGGTTCCCCATGATTAAGAATACCAACTGCGGGCTAATATTAGGTCTACTACATACTAGGACAAACATTAAGCTCCTAATGACATTTATATAAGACACCTTAGACATTCCTCTTCTTGCGTCTTCTGTCTTTGGCGTTTGGGGACATTTTAAAATATCCAAAACTTGTTGAGTACAATTATAAAATGTTTTATAGTATGAGAACCTTAATATATTTATGAAATATATTTAAGTATATATAAATATTTAAATTTAATTTTATGAAATATATTTAAATCAAGTTATCAATATAAGTTTCCAAATATATGAAATTCATTACGCACAGCAATAAACGTGCTAACAAACAGAGGAAAAAAAATTCGCAAAAACTTTTCTTGCGAACTATTTACGTAAATTTTTTTTCCTCGTGCCCTACAAATTTTTCTTTAATTTTTTTAAATTACTTGTTTCCCTGTTGACTTTAAGGCAACAAGCAAATCCCGGGTGATTCGCTTATAGGAACATATGTATAAAATGCTCCAACGGGAGGACCATATGCGCCACATCGAAACTGCAGTTGGCCATTGTACTCTCTCCCTTCGGAGAATCAAAAAACTTGGGTAGTTCACTAAGAATGCAGGTGGCCAAATCAGCTCCTAAATGTTTCGCTCCTGAAATTCGGCCCATAAATGGTGGCAATGAGCCCCGCCCTAAATAATTAGGGCTTAGCAATTGGCCTAAGAGTTACATTAAGGCCCGCGCTAGCCCGGTTCAGTCCAGAATGACTCTCTTTTTCTTCGATCTTTCTTCATTTGTTTTAGCCCGGCCGTCCAGCCCAGTCCTAACCGGACCAGGCAGGGCCTGGTCAGGCCCTTAGGTACCAAGTACTGGCCAAGGGCAAGCCCGGACCCCCACCCCTGTAAATTTTACGTTTTCGCATCAAGATGGCTTATATATCGCCACCGAAATTTACTGAACGCTTTCCAAAATTTCGGCAATTGGAAATATGCAGTCGCGCCAATATTCTGGTGACCGTTGATCCGCGTGGTTGGCCCTGGTGAAATGGATATAAGCCCCCTCGTTTCTCACTTCCAAAAAGCTCATGGCACCAGTAAGCTTCGTGCCATTATGAGAGAGATACAGAAAAGCCATGGCCTGCAGCTTCTCTCCTCTTTTCTTCTCTCTAAGAGTCTCCTCTTCCTCTTCTTGTTCTCCTTTTACTGTAACTGCAACTTTGAACTCTTCTTCAATTCCTGCAACCCAGCTTCCAGGAAGAGCACTTGAGCCTATCATAGTCCATGGTGATCCCCCCACCTTTGTCTCGGCTCCTGGTCGTCGAATTGTGGCAGGTTAGCATGACCCCTCACTTCTCGTTTTTCCATTTCCTTTGGTTTTTGTGCTTTGGGTCATGCTCTTGGAGTATTTTTCTTTCTCATGTGGATCTTGTAAGTCGCTTTTGAATGCTGGTGCTTTTAATTTCCTCAATTTATTCATGGTTTCCTTGTTTGAGGCTTCGATGCTGTCTAGTAAGCTAAACAATTTGGTTCCGTATTTGGAAATGGGAATAAATATGGAGATATTCACGGTTGAGATGAAATCTGATGTCTGTGAACTCAAAAGGATTCCAAATATGGGTAGTCTGAGTACCGTTTGAGGAACCAAATGAACCCATTTGAAGATTTCTATGGAAAAAACTTAAAAGAAAGTCCTATGCAGATTCAGGGGGTCTAGTAATGCTTCAATTCATAGATTTTGTTGTCTAGAACTGTAACTTTGGTGCAATGTTGCACATAGCAATCTACATGACCCTCAATTCTGCCCAAGCAATCCTGTAGTAGACTTTGTAAGTTCTCACTCAGTGTAAATCTATAAGATAACTGAAGTAAAGTTTGATAAGATGATTTAAACATAACTTAGTGATAGCATTTCATTTTCTATTTTTCTTGATTTTTAGTTGGTGACATGCATGGAGATCTTGCACAAGCTAAATGTGCGCTGGAAATGGCTGGTGTCTTGAGCTCAGATGGTGAAGATGCTTGGATTGGTGGTGATTCGGTATGTTCCTTGCGTCATTTCTAATGTTGTTATTCTTGTATTTCATGAAGAGCCTAACTTGTACTAATAGGTGTAGATGTATATTATTAATTGAAAATATACTAGAACATATATTATGATCCAATGGGCAGATAAAATCTAGAGTCGAATATGGGTTAGCATGATAGCTCCATTGGTTGGATACAATGTACTCAGGTACATATATCAATGGGGAAGTGCACAATGGTTCAATGAAATTATACAACATTAACCATGAAAAAATATACTTTAGTTCAATGGACTGTGGAAAACTGAAGTCCTTTGTTGTGTCATGACCATCCTGAAATGGATAGTGATGGGAGGGGGGGGGGGGCGGAGTGCAACACTCTATTGGGTATCATGTCTTATTCTGGTGGGTCCAGACTTTCTCCTTCATGGCCCATCATTTCAGGACACCATCATCACACTGAACCACGATTTCCCAATGTTTATTGGAATGTACACTTTTTTTTCTAAAAATTATAACAGCTAAGAATGTTCTCGAATGTTGTAGAGGAAGTTCTGATATCCAATTATCTTTTGCAAAGATGGAGATTTGTATTAGCTTATGTTGACATTAATAATCCATGACTCTTCAATTGTTGGTTAGAAAATACTAATGAGTGATCACTGTAAAATTTGGCTACCTAAAGTTTGAATTTGAAATTCTTATTGAAAAATAGTCGATCCTGACTTATACCTGTGACTTAATATATGTCTTAAAAGAGTACAACACTTTTGTTGTCTCTAGTACTTCCCTCTGCTGTTTGTATTATTTTGCATGGCAGGTTTTCAATGTCATAATTTTTGAAGGATGTCCTCTATGTTCATATTTAGAGCAACAAATACTAGACATGGGTTTTGTTTTGTACTTCTCTTATACTTGGGTCAAAGACTCAAAGGGATTAACTTTTATGCATGAATGTCTTATATGCTGATGAAATCTGAGCAAGTGAGCATTGGTACTCGTTGCCTTTATTGAGCTTCACAGTTCCAAACAAGTTGTTGGTCTTTGCCAAGGGAGTGGCTATTTTATGCTGGAGCAAATTCTTCCTTCAAGTATTTGGATTATTAGGTTGATCAGGGATACACATCTTCTTTACCCAGATGAGGGAAATATGACTCTGTTTTACGCACATGGCTCCATGTCAGAATGCTCAAATATTCATTGAACCTTTCTTTCTTTGAGTGTGAGAGTTTATTTGATTTAATGGTGACTGTCTTTTTCTCAGTATGATTGTTCACTTTGAACCACTGGTACCTTCATAACCAATTTGTTTCGGGTTTGTAGGTATTGGTTCAGCTTGGGGATATTCTTGATCGTGGAGAAGATGAAATAGCTATTTTGTCTTTGTTGCGATCACTAAGTGATCAAGCCGAAGACAAAGGTGGAGCAGTATTTCAGGTGGAATCTATATTTAATTGAGGAAGTAGAAGTAGGACTTCACTTTTGTTAACATACACCATTTAATATATACGTATTCAGTATGCCTCATCTCCTTTTTTTGTTTCAGTGAATTATATGGTATTCCTGTACTTCCTCCCAGTTTGAACGTTAGCGCTGAGTGCCTTATGCCTATAAAGAAGGATTAGTAAAGTCTCAAGTTTCTGTTCTCATCACTTTCTCTCTTTAAATGATGTGCCATACGGCCTTGGGCTTAGATTTGCTCTCTTAATTCCCTTGGCTGGCATTTTCTGAATAAGCTTTTGATTATCTTCAGATGGATCACCCATCATTCTCACTATTCGCTTACTTGGTTTTCCTAATGAGTCAGTCTACAAGATGTAATGTTGAAAATTATTTTGTTTTATTGATAGGTGTTGTTGAATATGGGTTCCTTTCTAAAGTAATGCAATTTTCACTCCTTTTTTATTGATTTCTCACCATGCGTATGCCTGGAGATGAACCAATTGTCTGGAATACAATTGAGCATAAACTATCTCAATCTACATGTTATTATAGACTACGATACAAGGTCTGACTTTCTAGTGGTTGATTAGTTCATGATAGAATGTATGTATTATTCAATATCCCTATCATCTTCCTTTCTGTTTCAAACCTATTTCTTTTACATCAGGTTAATGGAAACCACGAATCCATGAATGTGGAGGGAGATTTCAGATATGTTGATCCTGGAGCATTTGATGAGTGTCTGGCCTTTCTGGAATACTTAAATGATTATGGCAAAGATTGGGAAGGTGCTCTGATTGGCTGGATTAAAGTATGTCAAAACTGGAAGAACAATAGGGAAGTTTCAAGAAGCAATTGGAGCCCTTGGAATGTGATAGCGGTAATAAAAATGCTCTTTTCTCATGCCTCTGGAGCTTATTCCACGAATAGTATTTGATTGATCTGATAGGGGTATCTGCATTTTATATATTCTATTAGTTCTTATTTGTTTGTTTCCATGTGCCTCAACTCCTTGAGTCTACAAGTTCTTTTGCAATTTTCTTTCTATTTGTGCCATTGAGATTTGTCAACTTCAGTGAAAATTTTAAATTATGGGCATATTTCTAAATTGATGTTTGGTTTTTACTCTTAGGCTCTACATGTCTAAGTGGGAACATGATTTCTGTTGATAGTATGAAGCTTATTGATTGCTGACTGGCCTAAGAATTATGTGTATTTCACCTGAGTGAGCTGTCTCTCCAGTTTTGTTAGGTTGGGTGTATATTACCCTGGTTGTATTTCCACCTATATATAAATAGAGCATACATAATTTCCTTTTTCTCCTAATCTTGACTCAATTAGTGCCTCCAAAAGGATATTCCATATCACATGAATATTTTGTAGTTGAAATCCTACTTGAACTCATTTGGAAATGATCAATTTTTGCCAGGCCATATTGGGCTTCTAAACCTGCCTAGCTTTTAGAAATTTTGGTCCATCACTTGCTTACATTTTTTGTCAGCATAAATACTTCATTTCTTCTTGTTGAACACATAGACCTTTCTTATATAAGTTCTCAGTAGTCGTATAGGCTGTGGATTTATTATCCTATGCTGCGGCCATTGTAGTTTTGTATTCCATAAGCTAGCCTACTAATTGATCTTGATTTTCCTAGCCAACTCTATCGTTTTTCATCATTAGCGTAGTGCAGGTACACAAGGACTTAAAAGTGGATAACATCTCATCCCACCATTTATTGATGGATACAGTTGGTCTTTTTCTGTATCCCATGCTTTACTTGCAATGAATATCACATAATTTCCATAGTTTCACTGCAATAGTGCATTGTACTTGTGGCTGGTAAATTATACTTCTCATTTTGTCTTATAGATAACTGCTTCTTGTAGAACACATACTACATGACCATATTGACACGCCATTGTCCTAATTTTAGGGCAGAGGCAAAAGGGAGTGATTGCTAGAGCTTCCCTTTTGAGACCAGGAGGTCTATTGGCATGTGAATTGGCACGTCATGCTGTTGCTCTCAAAGTAGATGATTGGGTATTCTGCCATGGTGGTCTTCTTCCTCATCATGGTAAAACTAATTGTTTCTGAACTATCATGCTGGTTAGTATTAAGTTGTGTTTCAAAGGAAATCTGGTCTAGATTGGAGAACTGGCGATCCGGATAGACTCTTCTATGGGAGAAACTGTACAAAAATAAAATAAAATAATAATTTCACTTTGAAAAATAATAAAATTAAAAATATTCAAAAATAAAATGGGTGGAAACCAAGCGATTTGGGTGATCCGGGTTGCCCGGTTCCCTGACAAGCTTGCTCGTTTCTCTAATGGAACCAATGGAGTCTAAGGGCATCAGATTAATTCCTGGTTCGGATGAGGAACCGAATCGGTCCCACCTATTCTCGGTCTGGATCGACGATGTCCCATCCGGACCAGTGATTTTTGAATCATTGGTATTAAGGCACTAGAATTTAGGAAATAACTGTTGCTTAGAGCTATAGTTGATATTTTGACTAGCTAAATTGTATGCTTATTTATTATAAAGGAAATTATACTTTTGTTCAATGGACTATTACAAAACACAGTCTCGGGGTCATAAAGTCTACTGAATTGATGGATGGAGATGGCGTGTGTGTCGGAACCACGCTGCAGTCATATCCTATTCTGGTGGGTCCCACTCTAATATGACTATTCCATTTCCCCTGACTATGATGATCCAAATGTACAATATTTTCCATAGTCCATTGCATTGTAGTATTCTTTCCCTTATTAAGCGTTCGTCATTGTAGATGGTTATTCTTTTATCATTCACTGTATCCTATTTCATTTCAGGTCATGAGATATGTTCACAGGATTGTTGGAGCAATAGAAAATTTGCAATTCTTTCTAACCCATCTAATAAAATTACTTGTGCTTCTTTTAGTTAGGTATGGTATAGAACGTATGAATCGAGAAGTATCATGTTGGATGAGAGGATTAGAGGGGGAGAGCCATGCACCCAAACTTCCATTCATAGCAACCAGAGGTTATGATAGTGTTGTTTGGAACCGCGTGTATTCAAGAGACTCAGAAGAGACAGAATCGGGAAAGCGCCAGGCAAGTGTTATTGTTAGGGGAAGTATACTCCATTTGGATGTCAAAAATTGTAGCACATTTGGTTAAGCACTGCCCGGTGAAATGATGAATGCTTACGAAGAGGGAGGAGATTCACCATTTGGGTTGTGTCCCCTTCTCGTAGAAACCATTCGCTATCACCGCACATCGCTTTATTGGATGGTGGTGAAACCAGTGTACTGTAGTTTCTATGGTACACTAGACTACATTATCCGATTGCCATAATTAGTTCGGAACTGAAATAGTCACCAGGGATCCAAATAACTTAAGGTCCTTCCCGGAGTTTCCATTACTCAATAACAATATTGTTTTGATTGAAATGATTGCATTTGTTCAGATATCTGCACTTCTTGAAGAGACTTTGCAAGCAGTAAGTGCCAAGGCAATGGTTGTGGGTCACACTCCTCAACCATCTGGGGTAAACTGGTACATATTTTCCTGTTTCTTGTAGTGATTTGGCTGAGTAGTCATTGATTAGTCTTACACATATACACATAAAAGCTTTGGATAAGTATACTATAGTCCAATGGACCATGCCCTATGGTGCTCCAAGGCTACATCCTACTTCTGTTTGGGCAGACAGTGGCTAGAGATTAAACGGAGTGAGGCTGGCATGTACTTTCACCTAGCTGCTATTAACCTCCAACCATCCATGTGTCGAAAGGGATGGTGGACATAGCCTGTGAGTACCGTATACTGTATCCAGTGGACTATGGTATACTTTTTCTTTACTTTAATTGGTTTTCGGCATTGATATTTTTAATTGATTACTAGCTACCACTTTGCTTCTGTAATTATCTTATGAAAATGAACCTGTTTGTGCCTACTACTTTGCTTATGTAATAATCTTGCGAAAATGAAAATGTTTGTGCTTATATTGTTGCAGTAAATATAATGGCAGCATATGGCGCATTGATGTGGGGATGTCAAGCGGAGTTCTTGATGCTTCTCCAGAGGTAATTTAGGTTCTCTTGAATGTCAAATATGGTATGAAGAATCCTAGTGTCCTTAAGAAGAGCCATTACATTCTGAACTGCTTTTTTTGATTTTTGGTAGATTTCAGAACAATAAATTCACCTGCAAAGCTGTTGTGTTGCTGGGAATAAAACAATACATTGTCAAGGCTAGTTGCATTCTACTGGGCAAACAGTTAACATGCCACTAAAAAGTGAGGGGAAAGGTCAAAATCCCTTAAAAAATTACTGAAGTGGTCAAAAGATATCAATTAACATTGAAGGGTTTATTTTTTGATTTTTATTTCACTCAGGTACATCCTTAAAAATATTTTAAAAAATGCTTAAACTGCACCTGTTCAGGGTTAGGAACCTTTGAACAAGCAAGGGTATTTCAGTAATTTTGGACATAGTTTATACTCTTCACTTGGTTGAAGCCCCTTAGGTAAGTCAAATTACTAAAATGCCCTTGCTTGTTCAGGGTTTCCAACCCTAAATGTAGGCAAATTGGGCATTTTTAAAGATGTCTTTTGAGGATGAACATAAATGAAATGAAAATTAAAAAGTCTTCTAAGGTTAATTGGAATCTTTTGACCCCCTTAATAATTTGTTAGGGTTTTGGCCCCTTAAACAAAATTCTTAAGTATCTTGCCATTTGGTAAGAACTCTTGGGCGTTAGGTGTTAACAAAGTATTTACATGCTTTCCTTTCTCACCATATTTAATCGGCTATCTTTGAGGATAAGTATGTATCTGCTCTGATTGAAGTATGCAAATGATATGAGAGTCTTTTATGAGCATAATCATCCTGCAAATTTTTTATCAAATGCCATTGAGATATACTTAATTTTCATAACACATATGAACTTTCATAGCACATATGAACTGTGGCCTTGTGGTTGCTGGCCTTTCGCTTATGCCCTTGAGATTTCTCTGATTGAATTTTTACATCTATTTGAGACATGTGTTTAACCTGATATATGAAAAGGATTAACTTGGTGACTTCAACTTTGGGTGCACTAGGTTCTCGAAATCATTGACAACAATGTGAGAATTATAAAGAAGGACGCTAAGGCATTCCATGGGCATTCTGTTGTAAATTACATATGAAACTTTCATATGGCCCAATAAGGTAGGACATATGATTTCGTTATATTTGTTCATTGGTCTATTGGCCGGTAACAATGTTTAACATTAACATTCATTGGAAATTTGGCAATTATTTATTCAGTTTATTTGTATAAGAATCAAACCTACATATTTCCCTACCAATTTATTTTAGCACAACCAAATAGTTTTCTCTGCTTTTCTTACTGTTTATCGACATTCAGTGTCAGCCTTAATAGAAAAATTTATGTATTTGATTCTTGAGCTGCCTTGAGCCTCATATTTCCAGACCTATAATGCAGATTAAACTTGGTAAAATAATTAGCTTCGTATAGACGAAACGTGACATCCCATCAGAGCTAGATTACCTCTGTTACATGCAAATTGCGTGTTTCCCACCTTACAGTATTCAACTATCTTACAATAAATTGAACAATAATTCATTCCACACATCGAGCACACCAGGCAAACACCAATGTATACAATCTGCATGGCCCTCGGGATGCAACAACTGCTTTGGCTTAAAGGTCTCTCAAAACTTCCGATATATAGAAGGGTGGCCATCTTTTTGATACTCAGATAGCGGTGTGATGTTAAGAACTGTGACTCTTGATCTCCTTTCCCTGAAAACATTCTCTAATACACTCATCATCCTTAGATCTGACCCACTTCCCCAGTAATCTTCCCTCTCAATTAGCGTTGTCCTGGCTCCTGCACACCAAACAAGCCCCCAGAAATAGTGGAACAAACATGAAATTTGAATGTTGGAAATTTGCATTGATGTGGAATGCGATGACCTTGGCATTATTCTCTTTTGGCTTTTTTGCAATATTTTCTTTAGTTGGTATTCTTGGTTAGTTGGAGTTGCATTGGGGTCAGCTTCCTTATGCTTAAGTTTTGAGTTATTTCCTTTCATGGTTTGGCCCTCTAGTTGTTTCCTAGGCTTCTAGTTCTTTAAACAGGACATATTTCCTGCTGTAGGGATCTAGTGGATTTGGCTTCATCATTTTTAAATCTTATTAGTTAACAAAAACGAAAACACGAAGTCTCCGCAGTGGGAGGTGTATTGGTTTCATATAGAGTGAAATTTGAAAAGAAGAGAGGATTATTTGGTTCTTGTAGAGGAAAATCATTTTGTGAGTCCTTGTTTCAAGCCCTGAAAGTGTTTCATGGTTTGAAACATTTTTGTATCTTTGAGAAATAAAAACGAAATGTTTCCTATGCTTTCTCCTCTCCATTGTTTCCATGTGTTTCATTGATCAAGCATCTTTTTTCCATTCTGCTGTACCACTATTTCTTTGAGTAGATTAGTTTGACAAATGGGTTCAATTTCCAACTGATATGAATAATAAGTGCTCCAGATTTTGAAATGAAGTAATGTCCTTGTCATATTGAGATTTAGAAATGGGCATGTTATTTTAGTTCAGAGACATGAAAGAAAGAAACGATAGATTTCAATTTTGGATTTAACACAGGCAATTGGCACTTACCAAAGATGTATTGGGGACATGGTAACAAAGAAGACACGGGTTTTGCGAGCATCCACATTTGAGTCTACCCCATCAGCCCACGTTCTCAAGGCCTCATTCATGGCATCCAATCCTTCAGATTCTTCACACGGTTCCCCTTTACTTCATCTGCATTGCATACAACAAATCTCTCTAGTCAATCAGTTTAAACCAACCAAAGTTCAGAAAGCAGTAGCCATTACTAAAACCTCTCTCTCTCTCTCTCTCTATGTGTGTGTGTGTGTGTGTGTCTGTGTGTTGTGCTTGTATGTCTGTGAGAGTACTGATCGTAAGAGACACCATGGATTTTTGTGCTTGTATGTCTCTCTCTCTCTCTCACCAGCCAAGAAATCCATATACAAACAATAGCTTGAGAACTTACAGAAGTTTGATCTTAAGCTCTCCTCTCCACCATAGATAAGAATTGAACACCAATATGTCAGCATGTTTCCAGTATGATCCATGCTTTGCTATAGAATCTGGCCTGATTATCCTGCTACTTAATCTATGGTTTACCGGATCATCAGAGTTGGATTCTACCAAAAGTGGCACCCAGTAAAACTCTACAGTAGCATTGTACTCCTATACAATGCACATTTGCTCCTTGCTGGTTATATAAAATTCACAATCGTAATGAATTGGTCTTTGGAGGGTAAGTGTTCTAGTCGAATTGGCCATGGGAGATTATAGCCCACAGGGTCATGACCCTCAAATTAAATTATACAGTGATGGTTGAGAGTATGAACCATCAGAACAGGGCATGATCACAACACTTCCCCTCCACCATCCATAATTTAATTGGACGGTCAGGACTCGAATGGGCTGGGTTTTCCATAGTCTACTGCGCTATGTTTTATTTAGCACCAAATTTATGAAAGCTTGTTATGTGTTTTACCTCAGCCGTGAAAATGGTGAGAAAATTTTTTGGGGTCATGGATTTTTGGTTGGTGAGAGTACTGATTGTAATAGACACACCATGGATATCCACTGGCCTCGATTCAGAGAATCTCCTACAAACATTAGCCTCTTCCCTCTCAACTTTTCCAGCATAGCAGTCGCATTCCACCTGTCAATAACACAACTCATTGTTAACAACCGTGTGTGTGTGCACGCGCACGAGCGTGAGTGCTTGAAATCATTCTATCAATCTTAGATTTCATAATTTTGAATAGACAATCCCCATTAAGAGATCAATTTTTATACAGGACTGGTTAATTTTTTATCACCAAACTCTCTCTCTCTCTCTCTCTTTCTCTCTCTCTACAGCTATTACCTGGTTAAGTTGCAGTGATGAGGTTGCCACCTCCAACTCCTGTAAGCCAAATCAGGCCTCCCATACTTGCGCCACGCCAGTTGATCTGACATGTATGGGCGTTCCTCTTCAGAGTAAAGTGGATGTGAGAAATTGTCCAAAACCCATCTCCCAGAAAACAAATCGCACTCATCCTGAGCTCTTCTCTCTCTTCCGTTCCTCTCTGGTCTTCGCAAATTACGCGCTCTCGACCCATTACCGACTCCCTCTTCTCGACTAACTTTACATGCGTCTTCCCTAAAAACGTAAAACCCAACAGCTCAAAACCGAATACTCTGCAACCCAAGAAACAAAGAAGAAGCTTAGTACCCTTGAAAGCATACCGAAATCTAAGTCATCGAAGCTGGCATTGCTGGTTTGATGATATTCGATTAGAGAGGTAAGCTTTCTCTCACTAGAGCAGAGCGGCCTTTGCTTCTTGGATTCTTCGGACGTTCTCGTTGTAGAGAAAGACAGCGACAACGAATAGAGATAGAGAAAGAAAGAGGGGAGAGAAAGGGATCTTGGATTTCCATGGCTGCATTGTGGAAGCAGGCAAAGCGACCCATCCATCAATTCCCATTTCAAAATCTCAGGGTTTAATAAGCCTTTTAAACGGTTAACTTTTTTCTGTTACAAGGAAAACTTACCGTTACTGCTACAATCTTTACTCTAAATGGCAATCATGCCATACTAGAAGCCAAAGTATTTTATGCCCCTGCGGGCGTATATTGTCTACTTACTCCATCCAATAAAATCTAATATAGTTATAGTTTTAGGATCCCAAATTTTAGGGATGTAGCAACCTTTCAAGTGCTAGACTAACCTCAAAAATATGGGTGGCAAGGGACCAGACCTGATCTGGGTCTCGACCCAAGTCTGGGTATGGGTTCAAAAATTAGACCTGACCGGTCAGGTCGGGGTCTAAATCTTGGACCTGAACACTATTCGGGTTTGAGTCCCATATTATGATTTTGGGTCCTAATTTATGAAATATAGTTAAATATATGGATATTTAAATTTTGGGTCAAATCTAGGTCTAGGTCTGGCCGGACCCAGACCCAACCCGTTGCCACCCCTAATAAAAAAAGGTTTCCAAATCTCACTCTATGTGAATTTGACAAAAAAATGTCTCAAGATTGAATAGAGACTGTACAATTTTTGGAGGGTGAGAAAATTTAGAACTCAAGTTTTATCTTTTTTTGTTTTTTTGTTTTTTTGTTTATAGGAATTTAGTAGTTTTTATTGATTAACTAAAGGAGATTACAGAATCAGAAGTAAGAGTTGATGACAGGGATAAACCCCCTTTGGCAAGAGAATCGGTTAAAGAATTAGCTTCACGAAACACATACACAAAAGAAATAGCAAGAGATCTGGAGAAATCCGAAATCTGTAGCAGAGAGGACCTCAGCTCTCAAGGAGGCTTGTGAAGACCATTGCACCAATTGATGACATTGAGCGAGTCCCCCTGCACAATACAATACCGACCAAACTCTCTATCCTTGAACAATTTTAAACCATTAAGAAAAAACAACAGTCCCATTCTAGTCTCTCACAACACCACCATAGCCAGCCAGGCCTGGATTCCCAAGCGAGCTACCATCAAAGTTGAGTTTGAAGGTTCTTTCCCAGAGGGGCCACCCATCTACCATGCAATCTATATTTGAAGGTCCCTAAATTGAAGAGAATAGGTAAATTCCTCTTAACATCAACTGCCAAGATATCAGACCTCTCGTTAGTTATGGAGCACCAACGCCACAAGTCATGAAGGATTTTGTCCAACAGTCTCTTAAAAGGAAGCCCACTGCCATCAAACACTCTTCGATTCCTTGCTTTCCAAATTTCCCACAGGATCAAGCCTCGATCAATCTGGCAAAGGACCAGCCCAACCTTGGGAAGCGGCACAGACAAGTTAAAGATGACGCCAATAACCTCGGCTAGCATGATGAGAGGCATGCCCAATTTATCAAAAAACGAATGCCAGATTCGAATGGTAAAAGGCAGTGGAGAAACAAGTGTGGCCTTGTTTTAGTATCCAATTTGCAAGGCAAACAAACATTGGGCAATACATTACATCTCTTGATAAGGTTGTCAGTGGTCAGCACCTTGTTTTGCACAGCTAGCCATAAGAATGCTTGAACTTTGGGAGGAACGGCCATTTCCAGATTGTTGCAATCTCAGGCTTAGACCATCTCCACTGGAAATGGAATAAAAGATTGTACATGGATTTGATTGAGAACTGACCATCAGCCTGAATCTCCCAAATGACCATATTAGAGGCATCCAATGGAATATAGACATCGTGAAGAAGAGATAGCAACCCCACATATTCCTGAAAAATGATGTTAGGAACTCTATTATAGGGGAGATTGATATTCCGGCTAATCTGGGAGCCCCTGTGAACAAACAAATCATCTACAATGGCGTTAGGGTTGTCCATACGCTAGAAAATAGCTGGAAAGAGATATTTCAAAGGCATAGGACCCACCCACTTATGGTGCCAAAAAAAGATGTTACGACCATCACCCAAGCTCCATCTGATGTCCCTAAGAATCAGGCCCCGACACAAGTTAATGGATTTCCAAGTAAATGACAATCTTTGTGACCCACTTCTCGCTTCTACCCACATCTGAAATGTATCCACATCATACTTTGCCGCCACCACTTAGTACCACAACCAGAGGAGGGCTTGATTAACCTCACACGTCTTAAACCAAGTCGCTATTCCATCTAAGGAGATGATATTTTTTAGAATTATCAAAAGACACCCATAAAAAAATTCTTTATCAATGTTTCAATCTTCTTAGCTACCCTAGGCAGGATCTGTAACAAAGAACTCAAGTTTTATCTTTTGTAAGCAATCTACTGATTACTAGGTAGTTCTAGAAATTTTATACTAAAAAAATTCTTCCAAGTAGGTCTTTTGCCTAAGGGAGTAAAAGGATAGGGTATGCTCCCATGGGAGCATTGTGTGCACCGTTACTAGTATACTGCTGCAAATTTTTGGCTGACTTATCCTACAACTTTGTAGCCTAAATTTAGGGAAAGTCGCTTAGATTTAATTTGAGCATATAGTATAGATAACATGTGTGGATAAATTTTTTGAACTTCGTGATATACTTAAGCCATCCAATCGGACATCTGATGGCTAGGATTAATTGTGACATTCTTGTACTAAAGATAAGACAAATGGTCTAATAGTATAAAATCTTTTTTAAAAAAAAAAAAAATCTTTTTGAGTTGGAATTTAGTGAATCCGGTGAACTTAGGTGTGTTAAAAAAAAGCCGGTAGAAAAAGATGAAATCGTCCCTAACCTTGCAGTGAATGTGGGTTCGCTAGGTCAAGATCAGGCAGCTTGGCCAGCCTGGGTTGTGCCTATGCCATGTTCCTTTGCCCCTTTCAAGAGTCCACAACATGTAGTCGTAATACCAACTCTAAAATCTTTACTCGATAAATATCTTGAATTTCAGCATGCCAAAATAATTGAGTTAGGGCCAGTTTGGATGTCAAGGAATTTGTTATTCAAAAAATTTGCAAGTTTTTCAAAATAGCAATTGAAAAAAATATAAAGCCTTTTTTCAATTCTTGTAAAGTCGTTTGGGTGTTACACCATTATTTTATTTTACCCCCACTATTTTTAGAGAGAGAGTGATAGAGTTGGGTTGTTGGGTCATTGTGTGGGGTTTGTACAAGCTCAGAGAAGGCCGCACTTTCATCCTAAAAAATTTTAGTCTTGAATTTTTTTTATAGTAACTTTTGCTTGGATGCGACGATGTTTTTTCTTTCGATCTAAAAATCTAACAAAATTTTGCGGTTGTCCAAAAGGTACAAAGTGCAATCCAAAAATGTTCTAATTTTGGGTACATCCAAATTGGCACTTAGTATTTATGTAACGCTTTTTCTTCAAAATAGTGGAAGATTCACACGACATAAATATATTCTATTAAGGACACGGTTTCTATGCGGCCAACCCCCATATTGTAGAAATGCGGGCTTGGAAATAAATATATTTTTTAAACATAATTTGATCTTAATTTTTAGAGAATATATAATCTTTAATATGAAGATCATGAATATGAAAATAAAATAAAATAAATTGAAAACTAGAAGTAATAAGTACATTAGAATAACATTTCGCGTGTTAGCTACACTTGGTTTTAGATAGACAACCTTGTTTAGATAGACAACCTATTTGCATCCATCTTTAAGATGGATGCTTTATACTTCTGGACCATATATTGTAGAAACACGATCCGGCCCGCATGAAACAATGTTCCTTCCATCAAATCAACAAAAATACAGGAAAAAGGGGTGATAATTTAAACATTTGCCATAAATACAGAAATTCTTCATTTTATATGTTAATAATACATAATTAATTATAAAATTATTTACTATAAGTATTACTACTATAAAATGGAAAAATGTTCTATAAGGATGCAACCTTATAATGTAGAACTACGAATGCCCCTCAAAAATCTATCGGAAAAGGTAGTTTTAATGTTGAAAAACCATTTGATTGACTATCTCGACATCGAGATGTACGACTATGAAAAATAAAAACATTTTAAGTCTCAGAAATAGTGCATTTTACAACATATTATCTACACCATCCATTTTCAAGATTTTATATATTTATAGATCTACTTGATTTTAACTATTTTTGAAAGTTAAAATTTTATAATTGGATATAAAAATAAATTTTGAAAAAATCCTAATGACATTTTACATCAAAATTATATACCATGATAAAATTTGAAAGGCACCTTACCTCTACACCTCCGGAGGCGTCCTTATGCCAACCGCACCCTTTATTCGCACTTATTGATGTTTCTCTCTATGATTTACTTGATTTTATTGGATAGACTGTTATATTAGACGAGGAATTATAAATTTTCGTACAACTCGTGGGCTGCTTTATATGTTAGGAAAGTTACTAGATTTTTTATGCAAGTTACCCCAACCGAACTTTTTGTCTCATTTTTACCTTAAAATATTTTTTTTTATTAAATACCCCCAACCAAATAAAAAATTAAAAAAAATCTAAACCACCTTCCTATATTTTTACGCACGTTTCTCTCTCCTCTTTTCCCAAAAAGTAAGTCTGGCGTATTCTTAGGGCGGTCTGGCAGTGTAATGTCCGTCTGATAAATAATAGTG